CCCTCTCAGATTCTGGGGATTAGGACATGGACATTTTGGGCAAGGGTATTATTTGTCTAAGATGCAGGAAAAAAGTTTAGGGAAGTAGTTTGTCCCAAGTTCCTATGATGTTTCAGAGTGGCAATTTAAATTCTGGCATGCTCAGGCACCTGGGTGGCTCGGTCAGTTAAGCATCTGACTTCAGCTCAGGTCACGATCTCAATCTCGCAGTTCGTGGGTTTGAGCCCCGTGTCGGGCTCTTTGCTGACAGCTCAGAGCCTGGAGCCTGCTTCAGATTCTGGGTCTGCCTTGTCTCCCTTTCCCTCTGCCCCTCCCCCACTCATGCTTTCTCTCTCTCTCTCTCTCTCTCTCTCTCTCTCTCTCAAAAATAAGATACCACATTGGGGCGCCTGGGTGGCTTAGTTGGTTAAGCGTCTGACTTTCACTTGGGTCTTGATCTCGCAGTTCGTGGGTTCGAGCCCCTTGTCGGGCTCTGTGCTGACTACCAGCTCAGAGCCTGGAGCCTATTTCAGAGTCTGTGTCTCCCTCTCTCTCTGACCCTCCCCTGCTCATGCTGTCTCTCTCTCTCCTAGAAATAAATAAAAATATTTTTTAAAAAAATAAAATAAAATAAGATACCACTCTGAGAAGGAGGGCTTAACCAGGATCCTGACTCACTGAATCTCTTTTTTACATGGAACCTAGAAACCTGGATGTATTCTCTAAAAAAAGGCTATTCTGGCATAAATTTCAGATAGCAAGAAGAAAACCCCAAGAGGTTGGAATTTTAGTTCAGAGAAGCAACCAGAAATTCAGATGATTACCTGACACTGGAAGGACTTGCTTCATATGAAAACAGAGCTGTAAATCTCACAAGATTACAAGATCTTGTAAGAATTTCAAACCTTCCTGCTATTAATTGGCTTTCCCATAAGAATAGCATCCCTTAAACACATTGATAATATGCCTCACAGCTTAATATTCAGTGGCCTATGTTTTGGCTAAATGAGCTTCAGAAAAAGAAAAAGAAAAAAAAAGGAAACTTGTGGTTTAGATCCATCTATTTTGGAGCCTCTGGTTAAATAATCTGTTTCTGCTGTGCTCTGTCTTCTTATTATCTGTAAAATGGAAGCGGCTCGAAAACCACAGTCACAGAAATGATGCACAGTTTTATGCACACAGCTGTCTTCATTTGTTTAGAGTACCAGTAGCATTGAAACTATTACTCAAAGAGTACACATGCTATTTTGAATCATCTAGGACAAAACTCTGTCAAAATAAAGAAAAGGAAAGGGGCCCAAAATAACTATGATTTTCCCAAGGGGACACAATTACTTTATGGTAGATGTGGGATCAGAACGCTGATATCATAGATCCCACTCCATTGTTTTTTAATTGGGTTTGGAATGATACAGAGAAATAAAATTCCTGTGTTATATGTAACTGGTGCAGGACTTGGCAAGATTGGAATTTGAGCACTGCATATTAAGAAGAATCTGGAAAATTCTTTTTTTTCTTTTTTCAAAAAAAAAAATTTTTTTTTATGTTTTTATTTATTTCTAGGAGAGAGAGAGACAGCGTGAGCAGGGGAGGGTCAGAGAGAGAGGGAGTCACAGACTGAAACAGGCTCCAGGCTCTGAGCTGGCAGTCAGCACAGAGCCCGACACGGGGCTCGAACCCACGAACCGCGAGATCGTGACCTAAGCGAAAGTCGGACGCTTAACCGACTAAGCCACCCAGGCGCCCCTCAAAAAAAATTTTTTAACAGTTATTCATTTTTGAGAGAGACAGAGCACAAGTCGGGGAGGGCAGAGAGGGAGGGAGGCACAGAATCCGAAGCAGACTCCAGGCTCTGAGCTGTCAGAACAGAGCCTGATTCAGGGCTTGAACCCACGGACTGTGAAATCATGACCTGAGCCAAAGTCAGACGCTTAACCCACTGAGCCATCCAGGTGCCCTGAATCTGGAAAATTCTTAAAACTAAGTCAGATATATACTAAATACATAGAAAACAGTGGTACCTGAAGATGATTCTACAGGATGAGCAAAAAGAGTAGTTGAAGGTGTGTATGGGCTGCAGTTACACAAAGGATAAGTGAGTTCCTGTTTCCCTGCACTTTGGAGGTTCCACCCCAAGATACAATATTAAAATAAAATAAACATTTGAATTAGGTCATATTTAATTCTGCATGTTCATGTAAGCCAACAAAATATCCCAGGTAACATCTACATTGTCATTTAGTGTCTATCTTGAGGTTTCATTTCTAAAACACAAAACATTTCCAAACACAAAACAGAGATCTATGGGAGTTGAAGAAAGGTGTATGGGAGGCGGCAGAGATAAAATAAGCCCATTTCACTTACTGTGAAAATTAAGATCCAATCAAATTCTTCACAGCTGAAAATGTCCAAACAATTTTCATTTTATGGCAAGGCTTCTGGAAAAATCATGCTGAAGGACTCAGAATTACCCAAATGTCCCTTATCTGTTTCAATACATATCACTATATATTCTGGGACTTCTGAGGGGCAGAGAAACATATCCTGGCTACACATATCCAAGCCCATAATGCGGATAAGATGGTCTCAAACCAGCCTGAGGACGTTAGAACCCACTTATTCCATTACTAATATTAATAGAGGACAAAACTTCATGTGCTTTTCCTTGTACAACCCAAGTCAATTCTCCATTAAAATGGATGGCCCATAAAGAAGTCTGTAGTGTAGGCATCAATGGATGCTGAAAGTATTTTTGTGGGTTTTATTCATGACATGGGTTTCTAGGGAGGATCTACTCAAAAACTCTGAGTCTAGTTTGACATTTACAACCAAATTCTCATGTAATCTTGAGCAAAGTGAGCTCATCATCATAAAGGAAGGATTTTAATACTTTCTATCCCTACTTTGAGGGGCTCTTGTTAAGTATCAAATAAAGTAACAGAGGGGCATGTGAATGCACATATTTTCATTGATAGTTGCACCTGCTTGAAAATAACTCTACAGAATGCAGTATAAAAATCTTGATGATGCGTATCTCAAAACTAGTTCCCAGTTCTCCCATTAAAACTACGTACATTAACAAACACCTGGGAGGCAAAATGGCAGAGAAGTAGGGAGCTCTGTACTTTTCACCTGCCAAAATCTCTTCAAACAAAGAAGGGCTGAAGCCATAGGACACTGAACCACAAGAGTCTGGGAGGAAAAGAGACAGAGTCCACTAAGAAGACAGCCTCATAGGTGTGTGATTGTGAACTGGGGAAGAAACACACACACACACACACACACACACACACACTAGCTGTATTAAGGAAATAGTGAGTCATTAACTTTACCTGGAATTCAGGTTCCCTTACCCTATATTTGGACCAACTGTGGGAGATAAGATTGGAAAGGTAGATTGGGGGCATATTCAGGAGGATTTAAAATATGGAACTGGGTGTTTGTAATTCAAGAGGCATTGTTAATGTAGAGATAGTAACTTTGGTTTTCCATAGGGAAATAGGGAATATACACCACCAACTGCCCCCAACCTCTTCACATATAACTTTATCACTTAAGATGATTACATAACATCTAATCATATGTATTTACCAACATTTATTTAACCATTCCCCTATTGCTAGCTCTATAGGCCATTTTTAATACTCTGCAATTGTAATAATTGTATAATGACCTTCTTTTGCTATTTTTTTCTCATTCACATTAATTTCATAGGTTAGAAACTTAGATATTGAACTACTTCAGTAAGATATAAAACAATTATGGTGCACCTGGGTGGCTCAGTCGGTTAAGCGTCTGACTTCGGCTCAGGTCATGATCTCGCGGTTTGGGAGTTCGAGCCCCGCATCGGGTTCTGTGCTGACAGCTCAGAGCCTGGAGCCTGCTTCGGATTCTGTGTCTCCCTCTTTCTCTGCACTTCCCACCATTCGCACTCTGTCTATCTCTCTCAAAAATAAATAAAAACATTTAAAAATTTTTTGTTAAATAAATAAAAAAAGATATAAAGCATTTGGGGTGCCTGGGTGGCTCAGTGAGTTGAGCGTCCAATTCTTGATTTCAGCTCAGGTCATGATTTCATGGCTTGGGAGTTTGAGATCTGCATCAGTCTCTGCACTGACAGTGCGGAATCTGCTTGGGATTCTTGGGATTCTCTCTCTCTGCCCCTCACCTGCTCTCTCTTTCAAAAACAAATCATGAGTAAACATTAAAAAAAAAATTTCAGATTGCTTATACATATTTTAAGGTTAATTTACCCAAACATTTGTACAAATGTACAGTTCCACTAGCGTTTTTAAATTTAGTAGTCTGTATAGATTTTAATTTTTCCCTCCGAGCACCCTATAGTTGCTGCTAAGCCTCTGATAAATATTACTCCATGAAAGAGTACTCCTTTAAAAAAATACTCTCAATTGGGGCGCCTGGGTGGCTTAGTCGGTTAAGCGTCCGACTTTCGCTTAGGTCGTGATCTCGCGGTTCGTGGGTTCGGGCCCCACGTCGGGCTCTGTGCTGACTGCCGGCTCAGAGCCTGGAGCCTGTTTCAGTCTGTGACTCCCTCTCTCTCTGACCCTCCCCTGCTCACGCTGTCTCTCTCTCTCTCCTAGAAATAAATTTAAAAAAATACTCTCAATAAAAGAACTTTAATAAGCTTGACTAAATATTTAGAAAGCATATTGTGTTGAGGTAAACTTTGTATGTAATAAATAATGAGAGTAATAGAAAATCATATTAGGTGACTAGTCTGTAATTATCTCAAGGAACACATACAATGAAACAAGTTCTTTCAGTGACTTTGTTAAACAAGCAACACAATGGGGAAAGTGGAGGAAATGTCCCATAAACACTCTGAAAAGCGAACCAGAAAACCCAACATGTAATCTTGGAGTAATGACAGCATTAGAAAACAAAACCAACAAAAGAGAACACCTTCCAGAACAATCTGAGCTACATGAAAGGCAAACATTCGCTAAAGTTGCAGCTTTCCTAAGTCTGCACATAGATAAGTGGCATATTTGACCTTCACCATGATTAACAAGCATTTCTTTGAAATTGTGTCCGTGCTGTTGGCCTCTTCTACTATCTTCTCCCTAGAATTGAAACTGGCTCTCCTCCAACAAAGAGTAAACAGAGAAAGTTTAAAACTCTTGAGTAAATCGCAAAGCTCATCAATTCAGCAGTGTCTACCACACAGGAAAAACTTCCTGCTTCCCCGGCAGTCTGTGAATCGTCACCAGTACCAGGAAGGACAAGTGCTGGCCATTCTTCAAGAGATGCTTCAGCAGATCTTCAACCTCTTCAGGGCAAATATTTCTTCGGATGGTTGGGAGGAAAGCCACGTGGAGAAGTTCCTCACTGAGCTTCATCAACAGCTGGAATACCTAGAAGCTCTCGCAGGCCTGGAAGGGGAGCAGGACAGCGGCATCTTGGGTAGTGAGAACGTTAGGTTACAGATTAAAATGTACTTCCGAAGGATCCACGATTACCTGGAAAGCCAAGAGTACAGCAGCTGTGCCTGGACCGTTGTTCAAGTAGAAATCAACCGGTGTCTGTTCTTTGCATTCCAACTGATAAGAAAGATAAGCAAACAAGGAATGGATTCCTTGAAGAATGAGGACCATGAGTCAAGGGCTGACTTTAGAAGCGTAGGGTAGGTGGAGGGGCGGGAGGACTTTTTCAGACACTCTTATTTCTTCTTGCCATTAAGTGGTAGTATTGCTTTAGTTATGTGTGTGTGCATATGTATGATACTTATCTGTCCTTTAAGATTAGGCAGAGTGACTACAATGGTCTTTATTTTGTAATGTCACTTTGTATGTTCCAGTCATCTTAAATTTTCACGAGTTCAAAAAGATTCATTAATATTTCATACTTGGTTCTTCCAAGGGGTATGTTTTCCTCAAAGTTGACGAGGTGGATAAAATGATGTCTCCACTGTACTAAAATCTTAACGTAGCACATCCACTCCAATGATTTCTTTGCCAGAAATTGGTGGAAACAATGAGAAATACTAGGAATAATGTGCACTGCAAGACTTGAAAATAACAAGATGCACTGAATATCTGTTACAGGTGACACAATAGAAATAGGGCCAAACGTCATGAACAGCAGATTGCAGAGGGAAAACAAATGCATGAAAACAGGTTCAACCTCAAAAATGCAAATTAAGGGGCACTTGGGTAGCTCAGTCAGTTGAGCCTCAGACTTCAGCTCTCATCATGATCTCACTGTTCATGGGTTCAAGCCCTATGTCAGGCTCTGTGCTGACAGCTCAGAGCCTGGGGCCTGCTTTAGATTATGTGTCTCCCTCTCTCTCTGTCAAATAAATGTTAAAAAAAAAATTTTTAAATACAAATTAAAAGTGAATAGGATGCCATTCTTAGCAGGTGAACACCCACACTTTAGTGGAGACTTTGGAGAGGGATGCTCTTCTAATTTGCCAAAGCACTGGAAATTGGTAGGATCACTGAAGAGGCAGTATGTTGATATCTATTAAAATTACCGTCCTCGATCCATAAATTTAAAATTTATCCTATGAAAATCCTTGCACATGTGTATAATGGCATGCATACAATACTATTCACTGCCACAGTATTTATAATATCAAAGGACAGGAAACCACTCAAATGCTTCTAATTTGAGACAGTTGAATTATAGTCACACAAAGAACCCATGGAGAATAGAATGAGGATGCTCTTCCTACACTGAAAAAGAAAGTAAAAAAAATAGGCAAGATACAGAAAAGTGTGTATAAAATGCTGTATCTGACATTAAAATATAAAACAAGAGGTGTCCAGGGGGCTCAGTCAGTTAAGTGTCCAACTTCGGCTCAGGTCATGATCTCACAGCTTGTGAGTTCGAGCCCTGCATCAGGCTCTGTGCTGATAGCTCAGAGCCTGGAGCCTGCTTCAGATTCTGTGTGTGTCTCTCTCTCTGCCCCTCCCTCGCTTGCACTCTGTCTCTGTCAGTCTCTCAAAAATAAATCAACATTTTAAAATTTTTTAATAAGATGTAAGACAAGTTTTCTATTTGACCTAACTTGTGCAGGAACAAATAAATATATAAGAAATAAATTACAACAATAACCTGTATTTTGCAGAGGAGAGACTAGGGGAGGAAGAAGGGCAAGGGAGGCTTTACGGCATATTTTTATATTTTAATTTTTAATTGTGTGAACATTACAAATTAAAATAATAAATTAAAATGTACCTAAGAAGTCACAGTCATTAGAAATATGCATGAAGGAGTCTTACTGGCAAAAGGAAGTGTTAGATGAAGGGTAGAAGAAACAGGACTGCTCCAGCCTTCCCCTGAAGGGGAGGGGGGACAAGAAGAGCTGGAGAGAAGGGCACCCATGCCAACCAAGGGAGGGGTTTCTACTAGTCAGAGCTCCGGGGATGACAGGATTCCAGCTCTTCCCATCAGGAGTTCCCAGAAACCATCATGGAACAAATGTGGGGCCAGAGACACTGAAGCTCAGTTTGGTGAGCTTGGTGGCTTTCCCACGGTCACAGTGACCTTCACCCAATGTAGGAAGCAGAGTTATGGCCCCACAATCTAGGGCTAGTTCTACTACTTCACGTCATGTTCCGTTTTAAAACGATCTCATTGTATAATTTGAGATGAAATCTATCACTTAATGTGAAAACTTGCTGAAGAACAAAACATATTTCATTCCAGTTTAATTAGTGTTACTAAGTGTATCCACTGTTGGCCCCGTGCTTTCACATTTGGCTTGAAAAGGAGGAGGATGAGCTGAATAGAAGCCTGAGTCTGAGGCAGGGTCCACTGCCAGACAGGAAAGGGGCTGAGAAGCAGAGGCAGGGCAGCCAAGAGGCAATCTTTGTCACTGTCACATTTCAGCCCAGGTGTTGACCTGTTTACCTTCAAGTTCACCTGGAGGTAGGGAGGCGGAGAGAGGAGAAGTATTTACCACACTTGATTGCAAATACACGTCATTTGCTTCGCACGATCGGTAAAATTTTTGTTTTCTTTACACCAGGAAGTTTTCAGAACCAAATCCCTCATTTAACACAGTATTCAGTTCTCAAATTAACCTAGCAAGGTAGTTTCTGTTATTATATTCTTTTCTCAAGTGAGACTAACCAGACTTTAAAGGTGAAGTAACTTGCTCAAAGTAATGTAACAAGTCACGGAGCCAGCAAATGCCAGAGCAAAGATTCTCGGCCAGATCTGCGTAACTCAAAAGAGTGCACTGTGTTCTAGACCCCAGAAACTTGAATGACATTGTGCAATATCTCTGCAAAATAATAATGATAACAAGAATGAGAATAATTTGCTCCTGGCTTTCCTTTTTCAAGCTCACATACCGTCTGCAGTCTTGAATTCAAGAAAGAACATTTTCTCCCTCTGGACATTTCTTTCATAAGAACTGAAGAGAACAGAATGGAGAAAGTGCCAAGTAGAAATTTATAGCAGATAATGCATACTCCTATCTAGAAGCTAAAAGCAATACTGTACATACCAATGTCTCTCTAAACATTTAGCTTTATTAGGCTGACATCCTACTTGTATTACTGTCTTAACTTCCTCATACAAAATAAAAATCGCTTGCTTTTTAATATGTGTGCTCTCTTATAGCTTTAAAACCAGAGTTCTAAACTTGGAGATATTGAGGAAGATAAATACTCTAAAGAGACAAGGTTGGGGGTTCAGAGTAAAGATAAGCTCATTTGTACTCACAGGCTGGGTCATCTGAGTTATCAGTGTCACATATACATGTATGAGCTAAATAGATCATTAAATCAACAAGCAGATTACAAAATAACTGCTATCATAATTTCTGTAAATAAAAATGCACCCAAAATGTCTGAAAAGAATTGCACTGAAATGTTCACAGTAGTACTATCTGGGTAATAGAATTTCCATTCTCATATTTTTTTAATATTATTTTTTTATTCAAGTTTATTTTGAGAGAGAGAGCACACATGAGCAGGAGAAGGGCAGAGGGAGAGGGGGAGAGAGAGAATCGCAAGCAGGCTCTGCACTGTCAGCACAGAGGCCAACACAGGGCTCGAACTCACAAACCGTGTGATCATGACCTGAGCCGAAATCAAGAGTTGGACACTTAACCAACGGAGCTCCCCAGGCGCCGCAATATAGTTTTTGAATTTTGGATATTTCTACATAGAATATGGATTCATTTTAGAATCAGGAAAAAAATTAAACTACTTCATTTTTGAAATTAAAAAAAAAAGAACAATAAATATGGCTCCTTGTAGAGATTTGGCTCAGGATACTTATCACCTGCAATAAATGAAGCCCCATCTCCAGCATGCATCAGAATTGTCCAGAAGGCTTATTAAAATACAGGCGGCATGGCTTCACCCCAGTGTTTCTTTTTTTTTTTTTTTTACAAATAGTTTATTGTCAAATTAGTTTCCACATAACACTCAGTGCTCATCCCCATAAGTGTCCTCCTCTATGCCCATTCACCCCAGTGTTTCTGATCCATTAAGTCTGTAGTGGGACTGAGTATTGCCTTTCTAACAATTTCTAGATGATTTTTGATGCTGTTGATCCTAGGATTCCTCTTACAGACCATGCCTCTGTTTCTTGATAGCCTTGGTAGACATTCAACAGATGAAAGCATGGTCTCTTTGAGGTTACTGATCTCATATTTTCCCACAATCCCTTCTAGAAAGAAGTGAGCATCCTAGGTGGGAGATAGTTGGTAATGATAGCGTCTTTCTTCTATCATTGCCTTTTCACGGCAGCAGATACAATGGTCTTTCTCCTTCTTAAAGAAACTGGATGTAGACTATAATATGCCGGGTAACCAGTAACTGTCTCTTCAGGAAAATGATCCAAACCAAGTTTTGTTTCTGTAACCGTGTCTGTCCCTAATGCCTGTGATCATGTGAAATCAAAACTGCAACCATAACAGTACCTGATTGGAGGAAGAATATGTTGTGAACACAGGGAAATCAAATTTCTGAAAGGCAGAGGATTCTGAGTGGAAGATGGCAAACTGGTTCGGTCATCTCTCCTATTGAGAAGGTATAGATGTTTGGTATAGATGTTTGTATAGATGCTTGGGGGTCATTCTTGGAATTGGCATTTGGCTGAAAGGAGTCATTTAGCCCCAGGTTTCTCCCCTGTATCCAATGACTGGATGTGGAGGGATAAAGGCTCAGACCCGTCACTCCACCCATGAGGGGTCATTGCAGTTTCAGGGCCCACTCCCCCATCATGGTTTTGACCGAAGCCACACTGTGACTTCACAGCAGCATGGCTTTTCCTCTGTTCTTCATCCTGCCTGCTCTTCTCACATGTGTTGAGCCCGTGGCACTCCCTAATAAACTCCTCACATGGCAATTTTTGTCTCAGAGTCTGCTTTCTCAACACCTGACCTCCCAAAGCATAACACACAGACCTTCCATATGGGGCCATAGAAAACCCAAACTCACATGCTATTGCCTTGGCCAGCTCCAGATTAGCTTCCTAATATGTGTTAATGTTTCATTCTTGTGATTTATGACTCCTTAAAATATTTCAGAGAAATCCCTTAGAGTCTGATCTGTCTAAATCTATTTGCCCTTCCAGAGCACAACTTGTATCATGTCCCAGACCACACTGTACAATGATGGGTTACTTCTCTTTCACCTAGAGTATGACCTACTTCACAGTAGGG